CTCCAGGTAGTGACTTTGCCATAACCAGCTGAGTTCTTATGATATTCCTGTGGCCCGCAGCAGATTTGGGCCTAGGACACTGCTTAGTTGCCTAAATTCATCAGGGAAAGGGAAAAGAGCTTTGTGAAGAATACGGGAAGAGCTGTCTCACTTGGGGACAGATGACTTGTTAGTTCCTGAGAGCCCACAGGAAAAGGAAGGCCCAGAGCATCTTATGTCAGGAGAGAAATTTAGTTGAGGTAGTTGGGGCGGCCTCAAGGCCGTGTGCTCACTGGCCATCAGGACATTCTTTTCTAAAGAATCAGAATCAATGTGAAAGGGCGTGGTTCCTGGAGTGTGGGCTGTGGTGATCACAGCCTGGATGGAGTCCGCCCCTGGGCATCACAAATGTCAGTGCTCGCTGACCAAGAGCAGCCTTTAAACTGCATCTAAGAGGCTGTGACTCCTGCTCAGCCGGCGCAGGAGCCACAAGGTAGATGGGGTGAGCCAGGTGTGGGAGCTGGACTCTGAGTACACAAGAAGGCTGAGACTGGAGGGTCGCCCTTTGCTTGAGCCTAGCCGTATTTTCTCCTGTCTCGGAGGAGGCAGACAAAGGAAGGAAGGAAGGAAGACTTGGCGCACCTTTGGTTAAGAGTGCACTTGTCTCCTAGCCCCATAAGTTAGAGAACTCAGGACTGGCTTGGGAGGTGGGGGTGCCAGATACCTTAGTATGGGACCCACGCTGGTGTGCAAGGACTGAAGCCTGGAGTTTGCTTAGGTCCCAACGTGTCTGAGCAGGGAGCCCCACTAACCTCAGGATGCTTCTTTCAACATTTCCTTATGTTGTGGTGACCCCCAGCCATAAAATTATTTCATTGATAACTTCATAACTGTAATTGTGCTGCTGTTAAAATCGTAATGTAAATATCTAATATACAGGACATCTGATCTGCAATCCCTGTGAAAGGGCCACTTGACAACCCTCCCCAAGGGGTCACAGCCCACAGGTTGAGAACCTCTGAATTAAGGGGTAACTTAGTGGTAGAGTGCTTGCCTAGAATGTTCAGAGCTTTGAGTTTAGTCTCAGTACTGTGTGGGGTGGAGGGTCATGTGTCTGTATCCCTATAAGTCTTTTCTTTTTTAATTTTGAGGTGTGTGTGTGCATGCATGCACATACATGTACACATGTATCTCTGTGCATCCAGGAGAGGTTGTTGGGTCTCCTGGAGCTGGAATTACTGGTTGGGTGCTGGGGCCCAAACTCAGGGTCTCTGTAAGAGCAGCAAGCGCTGAGCCATCTCTCCAGCCCCTACAAGCTGTTTTCTAGAAGAAAAGCATTGACCATTGTTCCCATGAGCAGCAGTGGACCTAATCTTTCTTTCGTCCCACTCCCTCTCCAGGTGAACTCTGTGTGCTGGGCCTCACTCAGTCACTTGGATTCCCACATCCTGTATCCTTTGGCAGGTGGATAACCACGCCCTGGTATGGACCTAAGCATCTGTGGAGATGGCAGAGGGGTAGACCGTTCTGCACCCTTGGCTCATGTTTTGGACACAGACTACACCAGGTCCAAGGCAGGGAGTCTCCATAAGCAACTGGAGTGCAGGGGTGGCTGTTTGCTGGATGCTGATGAAGTTGCTGTGTGCCAGACAGTTGGGACTTGATGATGTGTAACTGCTAGAGACCACACGGGACCCTAGGAAGTCTGACTCCAGACCCTACCTGCTCCACCACTGACATACAGTCTCGGCTCTTGGGTCACCAGACTGACCCATCATCCCCGCCAGGGGAGTCAGTGCTTTGGTGAAGGAGTCAAGTAAAAAGGATCAGTACAGCCCTAACAAGGTAGCCAGCCAGTCGTAAGGTGGCGTGAGAAAGCAGAGATTGGGGAACACCGAGGAAGGCAGAGGGGAGTACTTTGACACTGAGCACAAGACTGTAATCTCAGACCTGTGCCTTTAGAACACTGGTTTCTGGCCTCTCAGTGAGCCTGCGGGGCTCTCTCTCTAGGAACACAGTAGCCTACTGTGATGGGGCCTGGGCTTTCTGTGTAAGATTTGTTTAACATGGGCCGGATGGTGGTGGTGCATGCCTTTAATCCCAGCACTCGGGAGACAGAGGCAGGTGGATCTCTGAGTTCGAGACTAGCCTGGACAGGCATCAAAACTACACAGAGAAACCCTGTCTCAGAGAACAAACAAACAAACAAACAAAAGAGATTTGTTTACCACATTTTCATGACACTTATCATTGGTTCAATCCGTAACTAATGAGTTTTGTGTTTTTTTTTTAAATTTATTTACTATATATATAGTGTTCTGTCTGCACATATCCCTGCAGGCCAGAAGAGGGCATCAGATCTCCTTACAGATGGTTGTGAGCCACCATGTGGTTGCTGGGAATTGAGCTCAGGACCTCTGGAAGAACAGCCAGTGCTCTTAACCTCTGACCCATCTCTCCAGCCCCCAACTAATGAGTTCTTAAGCCTATGTGCTGTCATTGAACTTGAGACTTACTTCATCACATGCACAGGCAAATACATGTGCAGACATGTTACACCATAGCCTCAACAAACTCACTTCACTTTGAAAACCCAAGTTCTCTGGTGGAAGACAGGAAACAGATTGAAAGGGACCAAAAGCTTTAGCTGTGTCTGTGACATTCTGTTCCTGAAGGAACTGAACCTGGGTGTAAAAGCATTGTCTCTGGACTCTCCACCCTCCTTTGTGTTTTATCATTTGCAGAAAGATACGGATGGCCATTCTTCTCCCAGAGGAGGGCCCTGTCCGTACCTGACTTTCCTTAACAGATTTTTGCAGCCTGTGCCTCATGGGCCTTGCAGAGACACCAGGCTGTGCCACCCTGCTCCCGGCATCACTGTTCGTCAGTAATCACCAAGGTACTACGGAGTCCTCTCCTTTGTCTCTGACGAAGGCCTGGGTCCTCTGTCTCCCTGGGGGTCTCGTGGAGACATGGGCACCAGAAGCTGGACAACCCCGGTTCAGCACATGGGGTGGGGTGGGCAGCACTGTGGGAGGGTTCCCAAAGTCTGCCCCGGATCATGGCATTTTAGAGTTGGCTGGGTTTTTTTTGGTTTTTTTTTTGTTTGTTTGTTTGTTTGTTTGTTTGTTTTTTTTTGGTTTTTCGAGACAGGGTTTCTCTGTGTAGCTTTGCGCCTTTTCCTGGAACTCACTTGGTAGCCCAGGCTGGCCTCAAACTCATAGAGATCCGCCTGGCTCTGCCTCCCGAGTGCTGGGATTAAAGGCGTGCGCCACCACCGCCCGGCATGAGTTGGCTGTTTTTTATAAACCCTATGAGGGCATTTCAGCAGCCAGAGCAAAGTGCACATGACTAGCCAGTACAAGACTTCAAAACATTGGTTTGAGCTGCCTGTAGCGATCATTCAGAAGGCACCGGTTAAGCCCCCAAGTGTGGTAGGCGTGCTGGCTGGCTGGAAGCAATCTGACTGCCCCTTCTGGCAGACTCCTGCGTGTGGTTTGCAGACGTCGGGCAGAGCCGGCCCAAAACACAGCTACTCCGTCCCCATGTTCAAGCACACTGTTTGACCTCTGGAGGGTGGAGGCAGTACCTACCCCAGCAGGTTCCTCCTGGAAGTAGATGAGGCCGTGAACATTGAGCCCGGTTGGCATCTCACTGCCCAACAAACTTGTGGGGTATATATCTTTCCACTTTACAGATAAGGAAACTGAGGCAAAGAGCCTGTCAAATTTTGCCCCACAAAACTGGTTTTTTTTAGTGCTAGGAGTCTTCTTATTAATTCCCTTAGGGAACTATACGAAGTAAAGTAGAAACTGGAAAGGGAGACTTCTGGGGTACTGGCCCGTCTTAGTGGTGGGCACAGGCTGGTTCTCCCTTGACATGTTCTGTCAGTTCATAGTTTCAGTGTGTGACTTGAGCAGGCTGTTGGTATTGGGACCAGGATTGAAACCACAGTTCCTGTCACCCCACATGGCCCTGCAACAGTGTTAACACTGTGAATGCCACAGTCTGCCCCGAGAACACGAAGTTGCTCCTTGAGCAGACGTCCCTCCGAAGTCATTCTCTAGTTACCACAGAATCCAGTAAAGGTCCTTGTCTTGGTCCTAGAGTCCTGGAGGCTGGGAATTCCAGCAGCATACTCCAGACTCTGGGGAGGGCAACCCATTAGTGCTGACCTCATTCTGTTGAAAATCCACCATTGCCACGTTGGAGGCCCATCTGCATGACCTCATCAAATCCTGGTCACCTCCCAAAGGCTCCATCTCTGAAGTGCATCATCGTAGGACTTGGGGGTAGTTGTTGCAGATAGGGACTCTGGGAGACATCTAAACCACACTTTTCCCAGTGGTGTCCCAGATCTGGTGGTTGCTCGCCTGGTAACGTGGAGGCGTTCCTGGGCCTAGAAGGCTGCCCGGTTTTCCTTTGTTTCTCTAAGCAGGTACCGACCAGCCTGGCATGCTCTGCAGTTTCCAGATCCCTGGTGCCTGGTCCTGTGCCTGGTCCCTGAACATCCAGGCAAATAACTGCTTCAGTACTGGTAAGCCATGGCCACATCCCTGGGTGTGAAGTAAAGAACTCCACAGACCTGGAGGTCCACCCAGCAGTTCCTGGTTCCCCAGACTGCCAGCATCCCTGGTCTCAGGGACCCATTTCTTGTCTCCGCCAGGTTTGTCTCGGAGGGTCTTACTGACCAACGCAGTGACAGGACACCGGCAGTCATATGGGACCAACAGTGATGTCCTGGCTCAGCAATTTGCAGTCAAGGTTGGTTGGCTCGGGAAGGGTATAACAGAAGGTCCCCTTAGTGGAATGTTTGTGGGAGTGGAACTGGATTTCCCTGGTGTAGCATCTGGGCTGCCGCCTCTTCTACAAGAAGAAAAGCGCGGGAACGATCAGTGGGCACTTTGTTTGGGTTTTTTATTGGTTAGTTGTTTTGATTTGATTTGGTTTCGTTTCCTTGAGACACAATCTCGAGGAATCTCTGCCTTGAACTGGTGGATCTCTGAGTTCGAGGCCAGCCTGGTCTACAGAAAAACCCTGTCTCAAAAACAAGAAAGAAAAGAAGCCCAAGGGGCAGTGGTACTCCCTCTGAGCACCTACAAGCTCACCACGGGATGGACACTGGAGGACGCACAGGGTCCGTGTCCTCAACCTCTTCCAAGAACTCAGACTTCCTTCTAAGTCCACTGGGACCCAAACTCATACCAACCCTAATGCCAGGGCATACATACCCTTCCATTCTTAGGGGCCGGTGGTCAAAACTGAGTGCTACCGCTCTCTCTCTGCAGACTCCCTTACTCTTTAATGGCTGTCGTTCTGGGGAGATCTTTGCCATTGACCTACGTTCTCCAAGTCAAGCCAAGGGCTGGAAGGCCACCCGCATCTTCCATGACTCAGCAGTGACCTCTGTGCGGATCCTCAAGGAGGAGCAATACCTGATGGCATCAGACATGGCTGGAAAGGTAGGAGATCCTGACTTCAGGCCTCAGAATGGTAGGGTACAGGCCTACAAGAGACCCTGGTACCAAGGCACCAGGGTAGGGGCTATCTTGAAGTTCTTTTGATACTCCACTTGAGCTTAATCTTGCCTAGATAGAAGTGCAGAAGGGCCTCTGGGTCTGTGGTTTTGATGGACTCAAACTTTAGGAGTTAATGGCAGTCTCTATAATCAGAAAAGGTCACTGGAGATCACTCCACCCCTGCGGCTTCATACCTGGTAGTCACTGAGTTCCTGCTAGACCCTTCCCAAGTAACGCTTTGTGCTTCTTCCCCCAGATCAAGCTGTGGGACCTGAGGGCCACCAGCTGTGTGCGGCAGTATGAAGGTCATGTGAACGAGTATGCCTACCTGCCCCTGCATCTGCATGAGGAGGAAGGGATCCTGGTGGCAGGTGTGTGGGGAAGGGGAGGTCCGTCCATCAGATGCTGCCTGTGAGGGCTCTCGCATCCTACACAGCAGAGACAAAGGTGGTCAGACTAGGGCTAAATAATGGGAATTCTGGCCCCCTGCCAGCATCACCTCAGAAACAGACAGGTGATGAACATCAATACAGCAGCTGGGGACTGTTGGATTGGAGGTCAGGCCTCTTGGAGTCACAGGATTCCATCAGGTACCATCTTACCTAAAAGCTGCCCATTCTGCTCACATTCCCTTCAGAGGATGCTGAGAAATTAAGGGTCCTGACGTGCTTGGATCCTGGCCCTTTACCATTACCCATGATCCACAGGGGAGCAGCCGCAGCTGTCTGGCCACTGAGCCCTGAGGGAATTAAAGTAACTGCAGATCGTACTATTCCCAGGCCACAACACAGAATCCATGTTTCTACACATGGAACAGTTGGCCCTTGACATGTTCTCGGTCTTCCTGAGGCTCCCATGTGCCAATGTCCCTACAGACAGTACTCATCCCCTGTTAGAATCCTGGGGGGCCAAGCAGCGATACTGCGCTGGAGCTTCAGCTGTACTCAAGTGTCTTCAAGGCCAACACTGGGCTTGCTCATACAGTGACGGTCCTGAGTCTCTCAAGAGTTTCCACGTGCTGAGAGGCAGGCACGGGGTCCGCACAGCTGCAGGAGCATGCCCCATGCTCCAGCGTGGGCCTGCGGTCACCAAGTACTCAACTGAAACCTGATTGCTGAAACCCCCACAGGTCTCTAGGAGCACGGAGCATCTGGGCTGTCCCGGCCCATGGTGTCGCGTGCCACATTACTCAGAACTAGGAGTCCTGCAGACTTTAACTTCAACCAGAAGTAGCTGGCGTCTGCTCTGCCAGGATGTAACCAAGTTGAGAGATCTTCCTGGCTAGTTCATCAAAAGGAACCCAGCTGCCTGGCATCTAGACCAGCTAGACTCCCACCTGAGAAGAGTCCCTACCCGTGGGCCAGGGTGCCGACTGGGCCACTGCTGTGTCACAGCCAGCCAGTTCATCCTTGTCACTTTGAACACCTGCGGCTAGTTAGGGTTCTGGAGCAACAGACCAACTCACGGTCTTAATTTTAAGAAATATATTAGCAGAAATACCCTCCACCAGTGGGTTTGCGTTTGGCCCTGGGAGGTCCTAAGACGCCTTGTCTACATGCCATAACTTTCTTTGCATTCTCTAACCTCTGTGTGTCTTCCCTCTTTCTTAGTGGGCCAAGACTGCTACACAAGAATCTGGAGTCTCCATGATGCCCACCTGCTCAGAACCATACCTTCCCCATACCCCACCTCCAAAGCCAACATCCCTAGTGTGGCCTTTTCTCCTCGCCTTGGGGGCCCCCAGGGAGCCCCAGGGCTGCTCATGGCTGTCCAGCAGGACCTTTACTGTTTTTCCTACAGCTCACTGTGTCCAGGCGATCTGGAGGAGGGCAGGGGGGAGTGAATGGCAGCTCCCTTCAGTTTCTAAAGAGGACTTTTTTTAAGTGGCGCCTGATGTATTCAGATGGTGTTCTTCAGCTTGAGGGCAGTGCAAAGTGGTTGACATGGGGGGCAGGGGCTGGATAATGACTCAGCTGTTAAGAGCATTGGCTGCTCTTCCAGAGGACCAGGTTCAATTCCCAGCACCTACATGGCAGCTCACAGCCGTCTTCAATTCCAGTTCCAGAGAATCCAACACCCTCTTCTGGCCTGAGCACCAGGCATACATGTATAACATGCAGGCAAAACACCCATATACATAAAACAAAAAAATACAATTTTTTTCCAAGTAGTTTATGTGGAATAAGTTCAGTAAAGTGGCAGTTAAATTGTGGGTTCGGGACATGAAAGGCCTTTCCCTATTGAAATCCATAGACATTTCCCCCCTTCACTGGCAAGGCAGACTATAAAGACTGGCAAAGCAAAATTAATTCAAGCTACTGCTGACACCAGGAACCATCCAGTGGTGGGGGCGACCTGAGTGGTCAGTGCTGCAGCGGCAGGAAGAGCTGCATCATCTACCCTGGAGAAAGAAAGGCATCCGGTGCAGAGGAGCAGCAGGCCATGGCTTTGTGTCTGCGGATTCAGGGCCAGCATTGAAGCCGCTTTACCTTGCCTTCTTAGATGGTGCCAATAAGTCCTGGATTCTTCTGTTACCCTGCACAGGCACTGGAAGGGACAGCGGATCTCTTCGAGTGCTGTGGCTCTAAACAGTCCTGAACACACCTTTCTTGGGGAGTCTTCAGGATGTAAGGGACAGCAACTTCTGTTACAGTGACTTGAATGTCAGCTCTAAAGCCCAAGGCCAAATTTGGCTTTGACTTTTTTGCAATCTTGGGGCTGCAGTTTATGAAATATTTATAGTGTTAAAATCCTTTCTACCAACCAATAAAGTAAAAAGAAGCATGTGCGATGTTGTTTCTGCATCTGATTCGGATCTTGATCCCTTAAGCTGGTGAAGCATCAGATTGCCCAAGGAAATCCCTCCTGAGCTGGCCAATGGGAGAAAGAGACCCTAAGACCAGCAGCCTCACTAGCTTGCTGGAGACCTTCAGGTTGCCCTCCTACACCGCTGCCCTGCTCCGCTCATGCTCCAGGAGGCTGCTCTCTAGACCTCTCCAGCCTCCCTGTCCCCAGCACTCAGTGGGAAAGCAGAGGGCAACAGAGCAGTGGGGTGGGATTGATGGTCCTCTGGCTCCGTTCCCGTTGGGACTAGGAGTATCTGTGACCAGAGGCCATGGCCTTTATTGGAACACAGCTCTCTATGTCCTAATGACTTTGCTATTTGTGTCAGGCACAATGTTCCCCAATTAAGCAATTACCCACTGAGTATTCATCTTTCTCCTCAGGGGTCCTAATACCACTTATATAGAGAATATCACCAATCTACTATACTGACTATCTCACATTTTATTTGAGCCTTGTAACAATTCATAAAGAAGAGGGAATAGATAGTTAATTTACATCAGTGTCATCTTACAGATGAGGAAGCCGGGGTCCAGGCTCAGTGGTACAGCATGTCCTCAGCTAGCACAAGGCAATGGCTTCAGGTAAAAAGCTGCTGCAATTCTAAACTGTCCTCTTCAGAGGCCACAACCTCAGCAAAGACACAAGATGATGGACTACAGCAGCCTGGGAAATACAGGCTGTGAGGATGGGGGTGTCAGGAGAAAGGAGCCGTGTCAAGCGTGGCAGTGGCTGAGATCGCTCAGCACCAAGCAACGAGTGTTGTGTTGACCACAAACCACCCGACTGCCCTGGGCACATGTAGTACCTGGATCTAGGACAAATACATGAGGGAATGCGGCAGCAGACGCTCAACAAGGGTGGATGATATACACTGTGTATTATAAACAGTAACCGAAACCAGCGCCATTAATGAGAGTATGCAAGCTACAGGCACAGATTGAGTTGCCTCCCTGAAAACGATTCCAATGTTGGAAATGCAAACACGGTTGCACAATTACCATTTCGACAGGACTTTTTTTTTTTTAAACACCTGGAAACCTGGCTCTGTGTTCCCAACTAGAACAATCTGTATAACCTCCGAGCCAGGTGCTGGCATAGAGAAGTATTAGTGTTGTCACGTGCCATGAACCTCAGAACAAAGGGGGCAGGTTAGACCGCCAAGGCCTGATCATAATGGAGAGCGGCTTGTGAACGGTCCGCTTAAGGGAAAGGTACTGACCTTACTGGAGAGGCAGAATTCACAGCCGGGGAAAGGGAAGGGAAGGAAAACAGAGAAGCGCTGTGGCACCTCGAAGGGCCCCTATGCTGACCCCGGGTGGCTCTGCACTTCTGAAACTCAGCCCACAGGCAGCAGCTGTAAACCATGCGCACCAACACCTACCTTCCAGGCCGGTGGGCACCACGGCCAAAGCTCCCACAATGCCCGGCAGTGCCACGGGCAACTCAATGGTTGTTTTCCAATTCCCAATAAGCCTACCCGCTAAGAAAGCCGAGAGCTGTAAGGATCCCAGAGGCCACTGCTTAGGAGACCTCCTGGAATCCCAGTGCTCGTGTTGAACAGCCCTCTTCACGGTTCTGTGCAGTGATTAAAGCCTGTATGAAGGACCTGGTGAGGAAGTGCCCTGTGCAACTGGTGCCAGGAGAGTTCTGAGAGGAGAGGGACGAGGTGTTCCTGGAGGACAGCCATGCTGTTTCTTAATCCGGGTGCTGGTTAGATTTGCGGCGTCCAGCTGGAGAAAATTAACCAAGCCCATAGGTTTGACAGTTGAAATTTCTCCAGGCCCTGTTTTCAGCCTGCATTTAGCTAGCTACCCCCTCCTTAGCTGCCTAGCTGAGGCTGGGATTCTCTCTCTCTCATATATATATGAATATGATGCCAGTGAACTTCCTCTCTCCACTGGACTGAATAGCATGTAGAAAAAGGTTTGCAGGTTTCCTGTGAGATTTCTTCTATAAGAGCCTGAAATAGGTGCTAGAAACGACCCCACCTCGTGGTTAGTGGGATTCACATTCAAGAACAGGGTCTTATACAGTTTTCATCTCTTCCCCAAGCCCTCCCAAAATAAAGATTAGAGGAGGAGCAGGGGAAAAAATGAAGATGAAGGAAGAGTCAGGGAGGAAAAACTGCAGACCGGAGTGTCAGCAGTCACAGGGGGACATGATGGGTGACAGGCAGGAAGCAGAGCTGTAGGGGTGGTTGTCTGTGCTCCACAGGTAACTGTTAGGTGCTAGGTACCTGCCCCTGCCCGGGGTGTGGCCGAGACGGGACCCCTTAAGACCTGAGATGCGCCGGGCGGTGGTGGCGCACGCCTTTAATCCCAGCACTCGGGAGGCAGAGCCAGGCGGATCTCTGTGAGTTCGAGGCCAGCCTGGGCTACCAAGTGAGCTCCAGGAAAGGCGCAAAGCTACGCAGAGAAACCCTGTCTCGAAAAACCAAAAAAAAAAACCAAAAAAAAAAACAAACAAACAAAAAAAAAAAGACCTGAGATGCAAACGTGCTCACTCTCTTGGCCACCTTGTGAATCTGGATGCAGGATGATCTGCAGACCATGTCAGAGTTCTCCTGAGAACCACATTGGACTGCGCCTCACCTCTCCTGGATCCTGTAACCGACCCCTTTGCTTGCTGCAAGTGGACCCAAAATAAACCTCTTTTGACTATCAGGTAAACTACGTGGAATTGCCGCATTAATTTCTACTATACAGTTTTGGAAATGACAATACACAGACATTGAAGTGGTAAGCACATGCCTAGGACATACAAGACCCACTGAGGCCCAGCACCACAGATCTCCACTGCCTCCACCGATCGGTTTAAACCATCCAAATTACACATAAGGAGTAATGCCCAAACCACACCAAGGTACAAACCACCCAACTCAGCAAGCCGGCCTCATCTGGCCTGGCTGCAGCTGTCCCTCCCTGACAGTCTGAGGAAGAACTTCCAGAGCCCTCTGGTCACTACTAAGAATTCCAAGACCTTAATTTGCCTTCTCTAAGTGAAGGGATATTACAGCAATCATAAAGACCAGGCCCCACTTGGAAACTAACGTGGAGCATGCTAGATACGACCTGGAAGATGAGGATGAGGGATGTAGTTGGATTGGTAGAGTGCTTGTCTGGTGTGCAGGAAGGCCAACACCACATAAACCAGGCATGGTGGTGCACACCTGTAATCTGAGCACTTGGAAGGTGGAGGCAAGGATGAGCAGAGGTTAGAGTTCGCGCTTGGCGTATATGAAACCTGGGATGGGGGACCTGGGGGAGACTGTCAACTTTGGAGGTTAGTTAAAACCCACTCGCTAAGCTTGGTGCGGTGACACTTTTGAAGTCCCAGCTACTTGGGAAGCTGAGGCAGAGGGATCTCTTGAGTTCAAGACCAGCCTGACATATCAGCAGACTTTCCATCTTAAGTGTGGGTGTGAATATAAATGGTCTTATGGCACCTATGTTCTAAAAAGGCTCCTGTCCGAATAATAAGACGAAGCACTGTCCGTAAAGGATTACCTTTCTTAGGCATGGCTTCTGCGCTGCTAGCCACTGTCTATCAACTAGAAAAGAGATGCGAGAGCAAAAAAGAGCCGACACGGACCACGTTCAGCAGGAAGATTCCTTTATGGTGGAGAGTGGATGACACAGCTCTAGAGGAGGGCCTCGGGAGGCAGAGGAACAGGTCTAAGAAGGACCAATCCATCCCAGGGCTCACGTCACGCAGATACACAGCCCAGAAATGACTGCCCACATACCTCCCCAAGGCTCCACCCACTCATCAGTTCAATCCACAACGATGTTGCTTTACTTCTTTTTTGGCCACTGAAGATAAACTCCACTCCGACGGGAGTTTCAGCAAAACAGTCTTTCCAGTCATGATCGGTATGTCCAAGCTCTTGCTGAGAAACACTGGTTCATGTGGTTTCTCTTGCAAGAACTAAAGAGAATTTTTTCCTTATGATCTGTTGAAATATTTATATATATATATATATTTATATATATATTTAAAAAACACACAACCAACTGTCCATTCTGTGCTGTTTCCCCTCCCTCCCTCTAATAGACAGAGGGGTTGTATGTCTGGAAACAAAGAATAAGACACTTGGAGTAATAAAAATTCTAGTGTGACACTCAGAAGCAGGGTGGGACTCCAGGGGCTAAGGGGGAGGTGTTGGGCTGACTCAGGGGCAGGGTGTGGCCTTCTAAGATGGCCTCTTGGAGACAGAAGCATCAAGGAGCAGATATCTTGCTAGAGAGACCTACTTCCTCCTGGACACCCCAACTGCAGTGGCCACGAGCACCTGCATTTTGACTTTTTATGTCTCCAGGCCCTACTCCTCTCACCCTCTACACACCAAGCTGGATGACCTCTGCCTAGAACAGGCTGGAACCACGGACTAGAACTCACGCTGGGAAAGCCTAGTGGAACCCCTCTAGGCTGCTTCAGGCAAAAGGAGGTTCAAACCCAGGCACCCATCCTCACAGCCTGGGAGCCCTCAGGAGGGGGAAGGCAGAAAACACTCTGCCCAGCTCGGGGAGAAGCCGCAAAGGTGACTCGACCTGGCTGGCTTCATGAGGAAGACTGGTTCCCAAGGCCACCTGACCCGTGCTGGGGACACACCGGGCTGAGTCTTCAAAGCAGAAGCGGCCTTGGTCACTCCAAATCCCCTCTATATGGATATATGGAGATATAGGTAGATAGATTTATTATTTTTAACTGAAATAAATGTAGTGGACTCGGGTCCATTCCCCTTTACTGAGAGCTGCTCGGTCCTCTGCCCTGAGGTGATTCATGCCTTCCGGTCTACAGCCAGGCTCACCTGCACTGAGGGAAAGTGGCCCGGGGATGTGAAAGGAGGGCACACACACCCAACAGGTGCCGGAAGGGCCTACCTCAGTGAGACTTCTGTTTCTAACCCTGAGAACCTAAGGAATTGTGAAGGAGTCGGAG